GGAAGCATGAGAAAAAGAGGGGGGGGGGGAACCCTTCTGGCCAAAAGCCCCACGGTAATCTCCAGAACAATTTCATTTCCTCTGCAGCACCCTGGCTCCCCTAGCCCGGGCCTCAGAAAGGTCAGGGAAGAGACGGAGCTTAAAAAGTGGTGGTGGGGAAGCAGAGAGGGGGTTAGGGCCCTGGCCAGGTCGCAGGTGAAGGTTTGGTCTGGGTGGTGCAGAGGGAACAGGATGGACAGGATGGAAGGCCGTAGGGTGGTCGAGGAGCAGAGCCACGTCTTTTGGGAGGGTTTGCTATTTTCCAGAGGGGCTTTTCTCAGGAATTCGCACAGCCCACCTCCGGGGCAGCTTGCTGGGGCTCTCCCCCGCCCCTTCTTGCAGAGCAGGTCGCAGGGAGCTCGGGTTTCCGCCGAGGCCCCGCGCTGGCCGCCGGCGCTCCGCAGGCCTCGGCGAACAGGCCTTTCCCGCTTGCTGAGAAAGGGAAAAGCGCGCGCCCCGGGCCGTGCGGGCGGGGAGCGCGTTCGTGCCTAGGGAGCCGGGTCCTGCCACGGGAACCAAACTGCTCCCTGGCAGCTGAGGAAACTTCACTCGGCCTCGCGGGCCTGAGAAGGTGTTCCGGGGAAATGGCTCCTGCAATCGGCGGCCGAGATCCCCCGTGGGTGCGCGGCTGCTGGGAACCCGCGGGTCGCAGAGAGAAGCAGGCCTCGGGAAGCTTTGCCTTTCCCCTCTAAAGCGGAGCTTGGAGCTTTTGAACCCTTTACTTTAAAGTGATTGATCATGCCCCACCAGAGAGCAGCTCCACCCCTGTCCCCACCTCCGTCGCTTTCCCTGTCACCTCTGCGCTAACTGTGGGAGGAGGACGCGCGGGGCGCACGGGGGTCGTGCGTTTGGAGATGCGTGCTGCAAACGCGAGCACCCAGCGCCTGAGCGGCTGTCGCGATTCTCGATGAATCCCGACATGAGAACCCAAAACAGGAGGGTTGGTTTGTGCCTCCTTGCCCACAGCCCTCTAGGTGAAGACGTCAGCGACAGCTTTTCCCATGAAATCCGTCCCTGCACGCCTGCCTCCCTCCAAGGAAGTTCTCGCAGGAGCCGGGCTCCGCACTGGGAACCTTCAGGGAACTGAGGGTGAAGGCTCAAAGCCTCCATGAGTTAAGTTGATTATTAATTTGGGTAGCTCGGAGTCAGTAACACGCTCGACGTCTTCGGCTTTGGGAATTGTTCCAGAGCTGGGACCGGAGGCATAGAAGCTCCAGGGTTGCGACTGGGAAACGCGAGTTGTAGAGGCTCCCGGACGTACCTGAGTGGGCTAAGTGGAGCTCCCGGGGCAAAGGTTGGCTCTTCCTCGCCCCCAAATAAATTCTTAGTTAACTAGTGTAGACTAAACACATCAGTATTATCAAATGGGTAAACTGGACGGGGTTGAAAGTGGGGGCATGTCAACTGGACCCAGACTCGGTCATACTTCTCCGGTGACAAATCAGGGTGCTTCCAACACGAAAATAGAAATGTAACGTTCAACTGGACGAATTCATTTTTGACGGATTTACGGTATGATTTTCTTTCAAGCGGTATTCATTAGTTCTTTCGATGCATAGTGCGGTCTAAAGACAGAAATATAAACAAGCACTTTCTGCTTTGCGGAAACCCCTTTACTGTATCTCCCAAAGAAAAGATCAAGACACTTTGTGAATTTTCCCCAGATAATGCCTCATATTCCGAATGACTGATCAGAGAACTCCGGTATTGTTAAATAAAATGAGAGGAAGGCGAGTGAGGTGGGAGTAGAACAATGGCATTTCTGAATCAGTTTGCTTGATTGACATTTGGGAGCTTCATGACCCCGGGGAATAGGACTCATTACGGTGAATACACCAAAACATCAACCAAGATTAGAACTCCAGATCCTGTTTTAATCCCATTTCAGCCTAAATTATAGTGGGAAAATATAAAGTCCAAGAGGAGGGAATTACCCCATCATATATTGACCAAAAGTTTTAATTGTACTAAGGGGGAAATAAAAAAAATGGAAAGCTGATATACTTTTCAACACTTTAGAAATAGCACTGACAATTAAGTAAAGTACATGGGTATGGGAGTGTAGGTACTAAGAATATTTGTGTGATATAAAACTATTTTATACTTACTTGGGGAAACAGCTTATTGGAGAAATAAATAGAGAGCGCTTTTTTTGTACGTATGAGAAAAATATAACCACCCTCCACTGGTTAAAACTGAGGATCATCAGCAAATTGATGCTAAGAAATAATTAGATTCCTTAAAGCTGGAGTCCAAATTTCCATTATTATTTGGAACACTTCTCTACTACTTAGGGGGAAAATATTTTTTTATATGTCAAAAGTTGTGTTAACATGCAAATCTAACCCAAGAAATTGTGAGAGCTGATCTTCAATTCATGTTGAATAAAGGGAATGTGTTTGAGCAAAGTCTATTTTTAACAACAGAAAAGTGTGAGATAATGTGGGTGGCATGTTAGGTGGAAGTATAGTCTATGGCAACTTCAGTATACAGAAAATTTTGATTCTTCTATGGAACTCATCCTCAAATCTTAGAAACTTGAAAAAAACTGCAAGTCCTAAATATTATGTATTAAACTGAACCAATAGGCCACAGAAAGAAAAAGCAATGGTAAAAAGTATTACACTTATATTCTCAGATTTTTTAGTAGGTAAATTACAGCAAAGGGGAATGTTAACAGAAAAATACAAAAAGAGGATATATGCTATAAATTATGGAATAGAAAGATTGCTGCACAATATAGCTTCACAATCTCACATTTTGAGGGGTAGATTTTAATGAGAAGTCTGTGTGTTGCGTGGGAACTGAGAGTCATAAGAATTATTTACGCAGTAGAAGGAACACAAATTAATTATTAGGAGCTCGGTAATCACCAAATAAACTCTGAGCTTTGAGGTTAAAAATAGACGACTATCTTCATGTTCAATTATACAGTATCAATTACTAATACAACTGATGTTTCAGCGTCTCAGTGTGACCAGACACCATCTTCTATGGAGATATCTTGATATTAATTAATGACTGCTTTATTCTCATTATTCACAAGGAAAAATAGGGGTCGTGTCACATTAAAATTAAGATTATCTTAGTTTATCTGTGCTCTTAAACAAAGATCATTCAAAGTAATTATATTTTGAATTAACAGAGGCAGGCAATTTATCTCGTTATTTTTTGTTCAAAGATAGGAAAATAAAGATCAGAAATAAGCAAAGTTTCATTTGGAGGACAGAAAGAACCAAACAAACATGTCTTGACTTTTGCAATATTTCCCTTGCTTAAGGGGGAATGAGGGAACTGTAAAAGACGTGACTTTGCAAAGTCAAGTCCTTTTTAAAAGACTCGGATCGAAATTCTTGCTATGCAACAAGGATTCAAGTTTGATTAATTTTCTGCAAGCGACGTGACAGCGGTGTTTTAAAAGATTAATTAAAATTGAAGTGATACGGAGCAGGAATTCAACCTGCAGAGGCGTCCCTGGCGCCTTGGGGGGCTTTGCGAGTCCCAAACCCGAACTGCGGGCTTTCCCGAGCCTGGGACGCAGCTCCGCGTCTCCTGGAGAGGAACGCGGAATTTGGCAGGGCGCCCGCCTGGCCGCCTGGCATCCCGAGCTGGCCGCCAGCTCTCGGGGGTGGGGACGGGGTGTGTCCCGGGAAACCCGTTGCCGAGAGAACTGCTAGCGCGGCTCTGCACGAGCCAGTGAGGACCAGGGTCACGCCGAGAGGCCGGAGGGGGCTCCAGGTAGCCTCGAGCTGACGGCCCCGGGGCCGCGACGCATCTCGGGGAGGGGGCACCTACTTTGTGACCCGGTTCGTGCGGTGCCCCCTCCACGGGCGCCAGCTGTAGATGGCACGGGTGCGTGGGCTGTAGATGGCACTCGGCCGGGGGGCTGCGGCCGCCAGGGCGGGAGCGTGGGCCTGACCCAGCAGTCCCGCCTCGCGAACTCGGATTCGAGACTCCGCCGGCCCTTCACGGTGTCGCCACCTTGGCCACGTCCTCCCACCTCTCTGCTCTCTTTCCCGCCCCAGCTTCCCCTTCTGCCCCCCGTCCCCTCGTCCCCTCGCTTCACTCCGCGACGCCTTCACCCAAATAAGAAATTAAGCTGAACGCAACTGTAACTGTCCTCAAGAAGAGACAATCGCGGAGTCCCCGGGTCGCGCGCGGCGGAGAGGCGACGCGGGTGGCTCCGGACAGGGTGGGGTGGGGGGAGGAAAGGGGCGTTCGTTTGCAATTAGCCTCCCCAGGGAGCGAACTACGGTGTCCCCTTCTCTCCAGCTGGGGGTCTCGGGTCCTGACGGTGAGAGGCCGCGCCGTGCCCCCGCTACCGCAGGGCCGGGCCGTGAGCCCGTGGGCCCCGGGGCGACGCGGCGGGGGCGGCGCCGGGAAAGCCCTTCCTCTGCGGCGGGTCCCAGGGGTCGGGGCCTAAAAGGGTCCCTGGGGATACTCCGGGCGGGGAAGGCGGCGTGGCTTCTCCTCCCCTCGCGCCTGCCTCTCCCACCCTCTTCGCAGAGACCTCGGAGGTGGCGGAGAGGTGGGCAGGGAGGCGGGCGTGCAGCGGGCGCTCGGGAGCCGGGGCCGCCGAGTGAGAAAGGAGGCACCAGGACGCGAGGGAACGGGCCGTGGGGCGAGGGGACGCCGCTGGGGAGGGCTGAGAGTGGGGGGTGAGGCCACAATCCCTTCTCCTCCGAGTGGAGCGGGGGGACCTCTTCCCCGGGGAACCCCCACTCCGCAGCTCCCAAGCTCGAGAACAAAGGGTCTGGGAAGCACGGTCGGGGTCGGGGAGCGGAGGTGGAGGAGGCAGGAAGGCAGGCGGTGGGGGTAGGGCAGGGCGCCTCCCCACATTTCCTCTCGCAGCCGAATGATGGAAAGCTCCCTCCAGCAAACGCCTCACTGAGGCCGCTTCTCAATCCGGGAGGGTTCGGGTTCCTTACCTAACGGCTGCACTCGCTCCCTTCCTCCCCCAGCGTCCCCACCCCCTCCAGGGACCGAGGCCCGGGAGCTGCGAGACCGGCGGCGCGCGCCGACGCGGGCGGAACCGCAGGGTAGCAGCGCCCCCTGCAGGTGCCGGGCGCCTCCGCAGCCTCCGCGCAGACCCTGCTCTTAAGGTGGAACCCGCCTAGTCCCCCACCCTCGCGTGCAGCTCTCGCGGTCCCCAGTCCGCAACCCGCAGCCCACAGCCTTCCCTCCACCCGCTGCAAGCCTCCCCCGCGAGCGGGCCTGGCAGTCCAGAACGGTTGGAGTGTGCCGATCGCTGCTATTTCCTTGATCCCTTGGCTCCACCACCTGCAGGACCTCGCCCGCGGATGCCCCGCTATGGATCTCGACAGTCAGAATTGACAATTCCCTGCGGGTATAAGAGGATGCGTAAAATCCGCGTCAGTCAGGGCGGAAAGACTAGAAAGACGTTTCTTTAACCCGAAAGCAAACTTTTAGTTTAGTTTATTAAAAGCAGGAGACCCGCAGGAAAGGGTCGAAGAGGATTGGCACGCCATGGGTCGTTCGGATCCAAGCGCTCAGGACGAAAACTGGCCAGTCTGGGCATCTCCTTCAGCGCTCACAGCCCGCAAACTCGCGGGCAGGTGCAGGCGCCAGAGGCCGGGGCGGCGCGGGAGACCCGCGGGGGGACCTCGCCTCGCGCACCCCCGGCGTCCCCGGCTTCAGCCCGATCTCGCTGGGATGCTTTGTTTATTTGGTGAGACCAGGGAACGTGGAGAAGATGGAAGAGGCGTTTTTCTTTCATTCTTTTTTATATCTCTCTTTAACTGAATGGCACGTGCATGTGAACCCATCGTCTCTTGGAAGCGTGTGTCCTCAGCGAACTCCAATCCTCGGGGGAAACGTAACGAGCACTGAGCAGGAAACGAACAAGTCAACCCGGGTTCCGGTGCCGTCCGCAGTAAATTCCCTTCTTTTGCTCTTTCCTCTTCGGCGTCCAGGAGATGGGGGCCCCGGAGCCTCGGAGGAAGGGAGGCGGGCTGCCGGCCCGGGGCGCTCAGTGTGCGGGCACCGTGGGAACCTCCCTCCCCCGGGGCGCGCCGCCTCGGCTCCGCCCAGCCAGGCCGGGGCTGGGTTGCGCATAGGGTGGGCCCCGCCGGGGGGAAGCCGAGTCCGCGGGTGAGGCCGCCGAGGGGGAAGCTCGCCTCGGCAGGTGCCGCGGGGTCAGACCCGCCCCGGGGGTTGCAAACCGCAAGCGAAAGTCGAGAGGGGCTGGAGCTTTTCCTCTAATCCGTTTTACACCGTAGAAACCGCAGGCCTGTCGCCTAGGCGGCCACTTTTTAATTGGGAAGCAAATAGACGAAAAACCAAAACAAACGCGCGAACAGACCTTTTCCCCCTAGGTTTTTCCTTCTTCACAGAAAGGCCGCTTTCTGGTGGGAAAGAGGAAAAGAGATCCGCGCTCACGACCGCTCGCTTCGGGGCGGGGACAGGGGCGCGCGGCGGGGCACGCAGCAGCCCGGACCGCGCTTGTCCCCCAGCTCCTCGCGCGTCGCTCTCCACCGGCGGCCCGGCTCTGCACGGGTCACGCCGAGGCCATAGGCTCCGTGCAAGTCCCATCTCGCGCTTTCTCGCTCGGGCCGAAGGGCAGAAGTGGGCGCGTGGGTGCTGGGAATCCGAGAGCGTTCAGTCGTCGACAGATCTAGGTTCCCCCGGGACCGGGGCGGGAAGGGTTTGGGTCAGTCCAAGGGCTCCAGAAGAAACACTCGCAGACGCGTTTCTAACCTCACAGTGTTCCCTGGGGAAGAGAAGTTGCTCAGCTCACAGCGCGGCGCCCGGGTCCCCTCCCGGCTTACCACGCGCCCTGCCGGGGGTACTCAGGCTCTTGGAGGACCCCGGAGAAGCGGGGAGAGCTGCGAGGGGCGGGGGTTCGCTCCGATCAGGCGGGCTGAGCCCCGGGATCGCGGGTGGCTCCTTCCCACAGCGATGTGGAAAATCATTGTCAAACTTGTGGTCGTGGAGACAGAAAGAAGGAAGGAAGGCAAAAGAAAGACTTAAGGAGAAAGACCTTTATTTAGAAAGAAAAACTAAGAAAAATTGCGTGTCCAAATTGTGGAGAGGGAGAGAGGGAAGGAAGGATGGAAAAAAGGCTTTCTTTCTTTGTTCTTTACAAGCCTGAACACTTTCGTTCAAAATCAAAATGCAGAGAAGCAGTCAGTCTTGGGCATGTTTATGCAATCGAGAGATACTGCTCATTAGTTCACGTTTAAAGCATTGCTGGGTTGAGCAAACTGTTTAGAAGTTTCTTTTTCACCCAGCTCCTGTTTGAAGCTCAACTCATTTTGATTTAATGCAGATTTGAGATGAACATTTCAAAAGAGAAAATGTGTGTGTACATCTGTCCATACGTACACATGCAACACGGTTTGTATTCCCTCTAGTGTATTTTCTAAGACAAAGGATTCTGTAGTAAATTAGACACGATGGCTAATTCTCTTCTGGTACTGTCCTGAGTTCTCTCCCCATGTCCCATTAATAAATCTCCTAAGAGAGATAACATGATGCAGTTGTGGCTTTCCCCTTCTCCTCATATCTCTGGCTTTCTTTCCCGCACACACTCACTCACTCAGCTTGTACACCATGCACAGACTTTTTCTTAAGCGTCTTGTAATGTATGATTTGTAAATCTAGGCCTATGTTTTAAGTTTTCATTGAAGTTGGGAACACGGTTCCCAAAGATCTTTAACAAGGATCTTTGATAAACTAATAAAATGATGATCTTTGCTCTGAATTTATTTTTTTGTTATTGAATGGAAAATAATATTAATGAACTTTTTAAACAGTATTTTTATATCAAAATATCAACGAATAATGAAAAATGAGCCATAGTTGCTCCGAATGTTCAAAATGATGGTTCTCCTATTTGCAGTCATATTTTGACAAAACTATTTTATATTAATTGAAATTGACTAAACAAGTACCTGCATTCCATAGAGAGAGATACTGAGTTGTACCACCAACAACTTAAACTATCTGATTCAAATTACTTAAGTAATGCCTACTTATCCTTAAGGGGCTGGAAAATTAGCAACTGTGGAATTATTTGTGTGTTTTTGGCCTTTTTATGGAGCTTTAATTAAATCTGATTTTTTGTGAAAAACAAAACTAAAATAATATGAGAATCTTTCAGTGGTCTTGTAAAATAATATGTGATTGTTGTAAAGAATGTGTACTCAAAAGATATTTTAGTGAAACTAGGTGAATACAAACTTAAGTACTAAGTGTTCTTTGCAGTGATTTTTCTCTTTCAAACGTAAGACATGTAGGATTCCAGAACATGTACTTTAATTTGTTCTGATAATAGGAAAACCGATGTTGATTTTTTCAGACCATCATAGTCACCAAGTTGCAATGCTTAAATTGTTAGATAAACATCATCTTTCCTATAACACCATTGTCACCATGAAAGTCCATCTTAGGAAATGTGCAACAATATTATATTTGTTTAAGAAGCTTGAAAATACAATAGAAATTGAAATATTGAAAATATGATTCCTGATTGACAATATCTTAGAAGTTGCAGAGGTATCTCTTTTTGAGATGACTTTAATAATGACTAATTTTAATAATGTCAGAAAGCAAGGAAGGATTTCGATAGCAGGCAAGATGTGATGAATGGACAGAAGGAACAATGAAGCTATTGACAAAACATGCTAACTTTTAGAATTCTGTCTAAATTATTATTTATCTTTCTGGTACAGAGGAAGACACCCAAGTGCATCAGTGTTCATCAGATGCAGGGCAATAAAAATGTGAGTGACAGTTAATGGCCTGTGACTGTAATATGATTGTTAGTGTAGGTGAGTGAATGCACTGAAGCATTTGTTCCTGTTTAAAGAAGGTCAGTGGTCCATAGTCAAGATAGGTAACATTTCTAGAAAATTGAGGCCATGAAGGAGAAAAGGGAAAGAAGGCTAAAAAAATAATAAAGCAAATTCAGTAATTAAAAAGTTGTTTTCTACTTTAGATTTGATTTTAGTCAATTATTCATTTTAGCTATTTAGATGAAATAGGCAGAGGCACTGATATGATTTCCTCTTAAAGGATCTGATTCCTGGCATCCAAAGGAAACTGGAATTCAAGTTAGTATTTAGAACTTGAATTTGTTCTGCCAGAGTGAAAATTGGTTTCATTAGGCATCAGTCACAGAACTCTTACAGACCAGACTGGAGCTGCAGATATGATATATCCAACTAGCTGAAATAATAAAGTCCTAAGTAATGCTGGGTGTGCTTTGGGAAACCATCCAGGGGTTTTAATTTTTTTTTTAATGAAAGTTTCCTAATTTTACAGTCCTCATAAATCTGGAACAAATCTAATTAAGGCCATCAGCACGGGTGAAAACCTAATGAGTGACCCTTTGGAGATAACATGATGAGAATAACTTAAAGTGCAAAATATTCAATTGTGTGTGAAATCTTTAGCAAGGATTCTTTCCTGAACATTTTTGTAACTCACTTGCCCATACTTCCTTCTCATTGCAGATTTATAGTGCTCTGGGGGAAACCCCTGTAAGAAGTGATATATTAGACAGATATACTATCTAAAAGCTTAAAAGTTAGTGTCTGACTATATAAATAAAAATCTAAACAACAATGAGCACAAAAAAGAAAATCAGCTTTACATAGATGAACAATTATGCTCAGCATATTAAGAGCAATGGAGAAAATATGCACATCATCCAAAAGTTTGTGATTTATTAAATATAGGATGTTTCAAATAAATTCAGTTCATAATACACATGTAGATTTATGTACATAGACATAATGATCTTACATCAATTAAATAACATAAATTGATTGGAAACCCTGGCATGTTCCTTATATGAAAATACTCAAATCTTCATGAAGTAGTTAATTGTACATTATAAGAATTTTAAAATTACTAATGAGAAATAGAATATTAGACTCAATAGAAAAATTAAAATACATTTAAATTCTCTTTAATGTATCATAAAAGTCTGTTTTCTATTTTCCTTTGGAGCAGAAAATTTGTTAGCTTACGATTTTGGCATCAATTTTTCCTTCAATGTATTTTGTTTTATTTCCTTGTAAATAAATGTTATCAGTTAAGTAATAGTACCAAATGCAGTAATCATAAAATCTCAGGGGTAATGTTTTGACATGAATAGTAATTCAAATTTAGAAGTATTTATGGATAACTTAGAAAGCTTACTTACTTTAGTTAATTATTTTCTTATTCTGGACTCATCTTGCTGCCACCAGATTTTTAACTTCTTTTGTCTACGATGGCAGACACCAATATTTTCAAAACGTGTAAAAATAAATACTATCTTCAAAAATTTTTGTAATTTGTGACTTGAACTGAGCCTGTTCCACTTCTTAAACAAATGGTTAAAAGTAGGTAAAGGAATCAGTTTGCATTTCTTTTGCTGATTAAACAAAAAATTGAGGAATAG